ACTGACCTAAGGGCATATTGCGAGTTAACTCAATATCCTGACGAGTTGGATTAATCAACAAAATATGTATTATCCCGTTGACTACAGTAGCAACTGTCCTTCCACAAATAATAGGAATATTCTTATCAGGCTCCATTACACCTTCGTATCCATGAGGGATTGAAATACATTCAGGGGCTGACACTTTAGCATCAACAGTCATTTCCATACCAGCTGGAACAACTAATGCTCGTGGCAAAACAACATTACAAGTATGTAAAGCGACTTGTCGGTCAGTACGAAATGATGTAACAGTATCAGCAATCTTAATAACTCCAGTTTGCAAGTCAATAACTGCTCCATTTGACCTAAGAAAATCCCAACCTAATATCATGGGTCTCTCCATACTACTGGTGACATGAAAATTATGGTTAAGCGTAACATCCCCAATACGCAAGTTAACTTGAACACAGCCTATAATATCAAGGGGGCTGCCATCAACTGCCTTAGCCCGTGTGAAAACTTTCTGTAATCCTCTTGACTTTAAAAATTTATTACTTTTACGAAACTGATTAGAAAGTAAAGAAATGTTAGCACCAGTGTCAATTAAAGCACTGACTTTGTGACCCTCAACATATAATTGTATGTGTGAGTTAAATCCCTTAGGAACACTAAAAACCTCATCTGAATTATTTACAACTTCGTCATCTACTGATGACAACTGGGGGGTCTTTAGAAAATGCATATCACTAGTATTTTCACTTTCTGAAGCCGAAAATTGACCCGCATTTTCAGCTGACGTTAGTTTCCCGAACCAGAATATTTTGTGTTAAATGAGACACGTTTGGGGCTTTGTGTTCTGCGGTATGGACTATTTCGTCTGTTACGCATGTCGGCATGTTCATATCTATCCCGATATTTGGGTGTCCTATCTCGGTTACGGGAGTCCGAGCGATCATATCTACCTCGACGATAGTCGGGTGTCCTGTCCCTACGCCAATAGGAGGAACGGTTCCGATAATAATCAATACTAGGGGACCTGCTATGACGGTACCTGTCGGGGGTTGCATCCCTGGTACGAGGCCTTCCACGGTCACTACTGTTATCCCTATCCAGTTTGCTCTGTAAGGTAGAAACCATATTCATTAAATCAACCACAATGGATTTCAAATCAGATACCTCTGATTTTATGGAATCATTCGCTGTCGCTAATGCATCGATATTACTATTAGATTTAACGTGCAAACCTTCCATCTGAC